AAGACCCAAAGTAAACCCGCAACCCCAACTCCATTGTGGTTACCTTATATTCCATTAGTTCTTCCCTCATTTAAGACAATCTATTTTATCCAGTAATCTACCTGACCTTCCCATCACCTGGATCTCTGTTCTTCTGTGTTTACCTTTTTTCACATTGTAATTGTTTTGATCATAGGCTTACCTTCCAGATCCTCTGTTCTTATCATTTTATTCTGTTCTTGACATTTCCATTTGTCAACTGAGTTCAGGTTGATGCTGCCATGTACGTCATTATGTAGTTATTGTTATACCCAGTATTTTTTAATGAAATGGAAAAACTAATCTCTAGCTTTATATAGAAATTAAGGAAACTTTGAAGAGCTAAATCAATGAAAAAGAAGAACAAAGTAGGAACCTCATGCTTTCTGATCTCAACCACATACTGGCTCAATGACCAACATACAGATCAGTACTGGATTAGAATTGAGAAATGTTTATCTTTGGCAAAGGGTCAAAGTCCATTCTATAGAAAAGTAACAATCTCTTTGGCACCAAATGTTAAAGAGACTTTCTACATGCAGAAATATGTATATACATGCAGAAAAATGAAACCAAATCCATACCTCACACCATGCACAAAAACTAACTTAAAATGGATCAAAGACCTAAATATCAAAGCTAAAACTATAAAGTTACTGGAAGTTAATATAGAGTAATAACTAAAGGACCTAATTTTCAGCATTAATAGCCTATCAAACAAAACTAAATAAGCACAAATGACATAAGATAAATTAGAAAACTAGGACCTCTTTCTCAAGTTCAGGATGAAGCTGAAAAGCATTAAGTCCACGTTAATGAAAATATGACCTTGAGTATATAGTGTTGTGTCTCAATTTACTCAGATGACCACTCAAGACTCTCAGGATCAGCAAGGAAGCCTTTATTAGCTGGCCAGCGACTACAGCCTCCCTAAAAGCAGGAAAATTGCAGCCCCGACCCAGTTTTTCAAAGAGTATTTATTTATGCATAGGGAGTCTGATATTATCTTGTACAAACTAAGGGTATGATGTATGCATGAGCTGTTAGGGTGGGGGCTAGGAGTACATCAGGAATTTGCATAAGCAGTTTTACAGAAGCCAAGTTTAGCCAGAGTTAAGGGGAAAAGGGGTTTCTGCATCCAGGGGCATTGTTGATGCCAAAAATTTCCCACTTCAGCCTGATCCTTTCTTAAAAATTAGTTACTATAGGGCAATTGGGCATTAGTTACTATAGGGCAATTGGCATCAAATAGCACTTGAATTTAGAGAATGTCTCAAGAGCACATTTAATGCATTAGACACTTATGACCGAAGACCAGAAGACATCAAGAACTTCATACTTCAAGAAAGCAACAAGTCATTAAAAAGACAAGAAAAAAAGAAAATAACAAAATGGGTGTCAGAATACACTCTGAAACTTGCTCTTGAACACAGAAAAACTAAATTGACTGGAAGAAATGAGAAAATAAATGAAAAGTGTTATAATAAAATGTGTGAAGACATTGAGTTAGAAAACCAAAAGGGAAGAACACACTCAGCATTTCTCAAGCTGAAAGAATGAAAGAAATTTTCAAGCCTGATGTTGCAAGATTGAAGGAGTCTATAAGCAACGTATTGAATGGAACAGAATGCATCAAAAGAAGATGGGTGGAATATACAAAGTCACTGTACCAAACAATTAGTTGATGTTCAAACATTTCAAGAGGTAGCAAATGATCAAGCACTGAGGGTATTGAAGGAAGAAGTCCATGTTGCACTGAAGACATTGGTGAAAAACAAGTCCCCGGAAATCGACAGAACACAAATTGAAATGTTTCAAGAAATGGATGCAGTGTTGATGGCACTCACTTGTCTATGCTAAAAAATTTGGATGGTAACAGTATTTCTGTACATTCCAAAGAAAAGTGATTCAATTGAATGTAGAGCTCATTAATATCACATGCAAAACATTTTAAAGATAATTCAAAAACAGTTTAGTAGTACATCAACGGAATTTCCAGAAATTCAAGCTGGATTCAGAAAAGAATGCAGAACTAGAGATATAATGCTGCCATCAGATGGATCTTGACTGAAAGAAAATAGCAGAAAATGCTTACTAGTGCTTTATTGACTAAGCAAAGTCATTCAACTGTGTGGATCATAAACTATAGATAACATTGAGAAAAATGGGTATCCCAGAACACTTGGTTGTGCTCATGAGGAACCTGTACATAGACCAAGAGGTAGTCATTCGAATAGAACAAGTAGATACGGAATGGTTTAAAATCAAGAAAGGTGTGTGCCAGAGTTGTATCCTTTCACCATACTTATTCAATCTGTATGCTCAGCAAGTAATATGAGAAGTTAGATTATATTGATTGGCATAAGGATTGAAGGAAGATTCATTAATTCATTAACCAAAGGATGTATTGCATTCAGCAGACTATACAAAGGAAGATTCATTAACCAAAGGATGTATTGTATTCAGCAGACTATAAAACCTTACTTGCTGGAAGGAAAGAAGAATTTAAATACTTACTGATGAAGATCAAAGACTACAGCCTTCAGTATGGATTGCACCTCAATGTAAAGAAAACAAAAATCCTCACAATTGAACCAATAAAATATGATAAACAGAGATAAAATTGAAATTGTCCCACCGAATACTAGAGTGGAGAATGAAGCATCCAGCTAATAAGAAGAGAGGGCATATGCACAAGAACACCCACACTTGCAGATAATACCCACCTGATCTGACTTCAATAGCTGGATGATCAGAGCTCAACTAGAAGAAGAAAGAAGAGGGAAAAAAAAGAGTAATCTGATACAATTTGATGAACTTGACCTACACCTATGGATGGAGTAGCTCTTGACCTACATCTGTGGATGGAGTAGCTCAAAAGAGGGAACAAATCTTTATAGTGAAGATCATTCCCACCCCCTCGATACAGAGGGTAGACAGGGATGGCAACTTGAACATTGGCTACCCAAAATGGGGGGGGCTACACAGGCAAGAGGTGACTGGCTTACAAGCTTTCAATAGGGAGCCTAGGTCCAGAGGGCGCAGAGGAAGGTAGAATCTCTACTGAGTAGTATCCAATCTGTCTAGGCGTGACTAGTGAAAGGAGATGGGGATAGCACTTGTGTGGTACAATAGTGAGTAATTACTATCAGGAGTAACTGTGAGGGTTGGAAATGTCAAGGTAGATATTTTGTATCAAAAGGAGGGGAGTGGTTGACTTTACAGTCCAGGAGTGGAGGTCCCTGGGACCATCAAGGGAGAAGAGAGGAGTGTGGGACCCTACACAGAGAAACAGTGATGCCAGAGATGGAGGCAGAGACGATAATGTAGAGAGATGGAGTGGCTTGGAACTCTAGACCCAGAGAGGGAGAGGGGCTGTGTGCTGACAACCAGAGGTCAGGTTTGTGGGGTGTACCCTTTGGTTGGTTGACGGTGCATGGAGGGGATTGTAACCATGGCAAGTAATGATATAGGATGAATGTAAAGCTAATGTTCTCCCATGTAAACTATCAAATAATTCACAACAAAACAGTTTTTAAAAAATTGATATTTCCAAAGACTTCATTTTGCTTGGATTTACAGTCAGTATTCATAGAAGCAGCAGTCAAGAAACCAAAATATGTATTGCATTTGGCAGATCTGCTGCAGAAGACCTCTTTAAAGTGTTCAAGAGCTAAGATGTTAATTTGAGGACTAGGGTGTACCTGACCCAAGCTGTGATATTTTCTATTGTCTCATATGCATGTGTAACTTGGACAATGAATAAGGAAAACTGTAGAAGAATCTATGCATTTGAATTATAGTGCTGATGAAGAATATTGAAAGTACAGTGGACTGCCAGAAGAACAAACAAATCTGTCCTAAGAGAAATTCAGAAAGAATGCACCTTGAATGCTCCTTGGAAGCAAGCATGTACTTTGGAAATGTTGTTAGGATACACCAGTCCATGGAAAAGGGCATCATGCATGACAACGTGGAGAGTCAATGATAAAGAGGAAGACCCCCAACAAGATGGATTGACACAGTGACAGCAACATAAGGCTCAAACATAACAACAGTTGCAAGGATGGCGCAGGACTGAGTAATGTTTTGTTCTGTTGTGCATGGGTTGGAACCAACTGGACAGCTCCCAAGACCTACTAGCAGTTCACAAAGATAATAGCCTAGTTTGGTTAGTAGTGTCTGGGGTCTTAAAAGCTTGTGAATGGACATCTAAGATTTAACTATTGGTCTTTCCTCCTATGAAGCCAAAGAGGAAATCAAAGGTTCAAAGAAAAATGTTCCACTCAACATGTATCTGAGGACAAAGTTGAGAAGGAATGAGAAGGTGGGTGAAGTAGAAATAGGAACCGCAGGGGTGAAACGACATAACTGTTATTGCATGGAAGGGATTGCAATCATTGAGATGAAATAAAGTATATTATTTGTTGAATGTAATACTGATGATCTTGTCTGTAAACCTTCAGTCAATTCTCAATAAAAAGTAAAAAAAAAAAAAAAGCCCCCTAAATATTCCACATGAACTACAAGCTCATTTTTCTAACTTGAAGCCAGAAGGACTAGATGGTCTGCGGCTTACGACACTATAAAAATCATGACTAGAATGGAAGAAAACCATATCTACTGGACATATAGCGACTAGAGGAACTCCCAAGACTATCAACCTAAGATAACTTTTGAACTTGGAATTGAACCTTTTAGCAGGTCACCTTTTAGCCAAATCATAAGTTGGCTTATAGAATAAACAATATCACACATGTCTGGCACTATAGGATAAGCACTGGACTGCTAACCACAAGGTGGACAGTTCAAACCCACTCATTAGCTGCTCCTTGGAAACCTTATCCAGGGTTGTTATGAGTCAGAATTGACTTGATGACACTAACCTACAACAAACAATTAACTACAAGAGACCAAACAATTAACATTTACGCAAAAGCAAAGACAAGGAGCTAAGAAGAGGAAGGGAAGCTAGATCACTGGAAAGAGAACAAACAGATTGGAAATAATGAGAATGCTTACATAGTGCAGAGATTGTAACCAGTGGCATGAAACAGTTTGTATAAAAAATTGTTAAAGGGAAACCCAATTTGCTATGTAAACTTTCACTTAAAATACAATAACATTTTTTAATAATCCATCTATTTCACAATGGTTATTTAGAAATTAGTCTTATATTTAATTTTGATGTTGTAAGCATTGGTTTGTGAGCACACTTATTCATTATATTTAATAAGACCAGGTTTACAGAGTGCTTTATCATTCATTGGCTGAAACTAGCAATAATTTCCAGTCACTAAATGGAAGTTCAAGGACCCCTGTAGGATAAACACCGACTGCTAACCACAGTGTCAGCAGTTCCTACTCACCAGCAACTCTGCGGAAGAAAGATGAGGTAGTCTGTTCTGTAAAGATTTAGTCTTGGAATCAGTTGGATTGCTGTGTTGTTTTTTTAAATGGAAGTTGAACTTCAGCATGAAGTTAAACATCACCATTATTGTTGAGTACTAGATGGAGAGATATGCAGCAAACACAATAAAGAGGAAAGTGAAGTATAAAAATTAGGCAAATGCAATTCATAAAAGGGCATATCAGTGAAGTCCAAATAGTGTGCATTTGAAAATCTGTTAAGCCGCACATGAACATCTTTCTGGTTGAATCACATTTGTTCCATTTGCCAAAATGCTTTAGAGCTATTGAACATATTTCCTAGACATTAAATTACTAACCTCACTAATTAGCTCTTTCCAAATAATCTGCTGCTGCTGCTGCTGCTGTTGCATGCCTGCACGTCCAGCTCATAGTGACCATCTTTAGGCTTACTAAGTCTTTACAGGAACAGAAACCCTCATCTGTCTCCAGAGGAGTGGCTGGTGAATTCAAACGGTTGACCTTGTGGTTAGCAGTCCAATCCATAAACCATATACTACCAAGGGGAGTCCTGGTATGGCGCTGTGGATTACTGCGCCAGACTACAAAGCTCTTTGAACTGTAAGGTCAGCAGTTCAAGCTCACCAGCTGCTCTTTGGGAACCCTCTACAGGTTTGCTTTGGGTCAGAACCGACTCGACGGCACTTCACAACAACATACTACCAGGTTCTTTTCCAAACCAACTGTTATTAAGAGCTGTCAGGTCAGTTCTGACTCACACTGACCCTTGGATAGGGTTTCCAGTGAGCAGCTAGTGAGTGGGTTTGAACTGCCCACCTTGTGGTTAGCCGTTCAGTGTTTATCCGACAGTGCCACACCGGGACCCAACTAACTAGTTAGGTAAAATTCTCTGATATTCAAAAAATCTAACATTAGATATAGATGAGCTTCTTATTTCTGTTACAGGATCTAGTGTTATAGATATGTATCCTTTGACTCGAATGATACAAGACACGAAACAGATTCCTCACACTCATGAACGAGAAATCAATGTCTTGCTTTACAACAAAACCTTTCACCAAGTACTCACTATCTGCTCAGAATCTATAATTAAGGTGAGTACATCTTGGTTCTTCAGAAAGAAAAAGACAAAACAAATAAAATGTTCTTTTTGCAGGGATTACACCAACATAGTGATCGTACATTAAAGCTATTTTAGGCTTTCATGAATACATAAAAAACAAGTATTTCAAATATGCACTGACTGTCTGCTAGTTTTATTATCAATTAAGAATGTAAAAACAAATAATATCAAAGATAGAAAAGTAGCATATATTTTGGGTTTGTTTTTTTTTTTAAGGTTTTTATTGTGGATTGAGTGAAAATTTACAGGCCAAATCATCAGTTTTACATTCAACAAATCATATACCTTGTTTCATCACAATGATTATAATCCCCTCCATGTACCATCAGTTAACAGTACTTCTCTCTATTCACTTTAGCTCTTTTTTAAAAACAAAAAACAAAAAACAGGCATATATAATAATTTACACTGCCAAAGGACACACTCTGCAAGTCTGCCTCCTGGCTGCCATCTCTTAGTCCTGCTCTTCCCATGAATCTAGAGTCCTCAGCTGCTTCCTCTCTCCATGTCTCCATCTCTGCCTCCATGTCTAGTGTCGCTGCATCTCTGGATAAGGTCTCACATTCACTTGTGCTCTTCTCCCTTGGGCCTTTGTTTCTGGATTGTAAGATGAACTACTCCCCATTTTTGTTAACAAAACTTCTACCTTTACAATTGTGACAGTCGCAATTAGTCATGATAACAATTACTCACTATTGAATCATTACGAATCTTATCACTGTATCTTTTTACCTGACCCTTCTAGACAAGAAGAAAACTATTCAGTGAGGACTCTTTCTTCCCCTACACACTCTTAAACAAAATTCCCCCTTGAAACCTTGTAAGCCAGCCACTTCGTGCCTTTATCGCCCCCTCATTTTACATAGCCAGTGTCTAAGTTACCAAGCCCTATCTTCCCTGTGTACAGAGGGGATAGCATTGATACTTGATGTAAAAACTCCTTCCCTCTCTGTTGGTAT